CCCCAAAACCCCAAAACCCCAAAACCCCTTCCTTGATGCTAAATATTGAAAAATGTAACTTTGAATATCACATTTAAATTAAATATCCTTGGAAATATCCGCATTCTTCTCCCTGCCTAAAGCTTATGACGAATAATGTGTGTCTTGATGACACTAAAACAGATTATATAATCACATATTTTGAATAAAATGTAATGTAACTGGCTTCTTAATGATTCTGACCATACAAGTAGCAACATTAAGAGCATTATTAACATGCTTACTAGAGGAAAGATCTTTTTTAAATTAGACTTGGATTCATCTGCTTCAAAAATAACACCTTCTTTCCCACCATAAAAGAATTTCTCCGGATACTTAACCCTGTCTTGATTGTCACTGCACCAGCTATTCATGAGGCTATTAAAAATAACATATAAAACTCTTATGAATCTTCTAAATTCCAATTATTAATTTAAGGAACCTATCAATAACAAACTCGTGGGCACATTCTAAGTTATTTTTGATTATCTTCTGAATAGTCTTCTCTAAAGTATTCCCCAGGACTTCCACTAAAGCCATTTGTTGGTCCCCTAACCCATCTCTCCGTAGGTAGTTGACCCCATTTATGAGTTCTTTCTGGTCGAGGTTCTATTCTGAACCTTCTATACTGTGCTAACTTTCCTTCATGAATTCTTTGTTGGGAGAATAGAGATTTCAATAAAATATCTTCTGAGGTCAACATTGCTTGAGCACATACCCAGTGATGGGTCTTTGAGGTAGCTTTGCAGACCCTAGAATAGGGCGGTTAAGGGTTTTAGAGATTGAGCTCTGTGGTAGATGAGGTGAGAATGTTATTAGCAGGAAGTGAAAATTTAGAACATTTAAACACTTTTTAGGAATTTAAATTTAATTTAAGCCAGAAACTGAGTTTAGAAGATTTTATGTGGAAATATTATTGGTTCTTAGACCTTCTAGAAGTACGAGGTTTTAGATGATAGAAATTGTTATAAAAAAGAGCTTTAGAATCTCTCTTAGCTTTACCAAAATGTTATGTTCAAACTTTTATTTAACTTCAGGGGTTTTGGGGTTTTGGGGTTTTGGGG